CAGCTAATCCGCACTTTGAGCTTCAATCCGATAACTATCCATGGACGAGGGTGGTCCCTGAGTCGTCTCGTGTTTCATCGTTCCGTGTTTGGGTGGAGTCGGACCCACTACTTCCGGTGGTAAAGCAGCTGTTGTCAGCGCAGTTTGTTTTTTGATCGCCTTTTCCGGTCGAGATGTACTGGTTGCACCAAGCAATTTGCCGAAACAATCCTCCACCTAGATCACACATGAAGATACCATATTAGTTAGGTGTAAAAGAGCATACCAATGTGCACTGTACAGTCACAGAAGGAAGAGGCATTATCAAACTACATACTTAGGGAAGATATTTATGTAGCACACCAGAACACACTATAAACGTAGGACAAGGGAAAATGGGCGTTTGAGGCCCGTTGATTGCATGAGTGAGCAGATAGTGAAATGTGTCGGGCACGATGGAAGTTTAATCCCATCTAAAGGGCGTATGATCCCATTGACTATATATGTATATATATATATATATTCTATTACACACCAGTGTGTGATGAACAGCAGACGGGGTGGACCCTATGGTCAACGAGACATGCTGCTCAGGGATGGTAACCAGCAATCTGATCCGCGGGACGTGGAGTGGCGAACCACATAAGGCCCCGAAAGGTCAGGCGCGGTATAGAACCGGGTGACAGCAAAACTGTATACCATCAAATTTGGGTGGCGGGACTTGAACCTCTGACGACGAGGTCCAAAGCACACCGGTGACAGCAACTAAACTACTCCGCTACCACCACAACCATATAGATATATAGATATATAAAGGTGAAGAAACTATAAATGACCCTATAGATGTTTACTTAGTCTAGTTGGTAGCAAGCAAATTGTAAAGTAATATCAATAATGGTAATAGTGATAAACCTCATGGAAAACTTACCTCAATTTCGACCATGTTTACAGCCAAACTACGCAAGAACGATTGGCGTATATGGTGCCATTTGGAATCTGACTTGCTGTAGACCAGAACATAGTCGATCCGACGTTTACCGTCACGAAAATATAAATCCGGGTTTCTCTGAGATGTATTAATTATCATTATTATTATTATTATTATTATTATTAGTATAAACCGAGAGAAAGAAAAACAGGGCCAAACCGCTACTCCCTTGAACGGATTTCACACAATTTGAGTGTACAACAGATCTATGGAGATGAAAGCAGACCATGCTGAATCAAATTTTGTAAAATTTTGCTGCAAGTCAAGTTAGGCTTTATGCATCCGATAGGATGAATTCTCAACAAATAATTTGAAATTCTTTTCCCATCCATAAAAGGTAAGTTGCCCATGGTTGAACTTGTTCACTCTGTGCTTTACCCCTACCTGGCTGTAAAAAACCAAGTCAGTAACAGGGTATTACGCATTTGATGGTGATTACCGTAATCACAGGTTCATTATCAGTAATATTCGGCTTATCCAGCAGGGACCAACGAATATGAGGATTGGTTGTTACACCGAAAAAAATTGAAATAAGCCTCCGCTGTGCTTTTGTTGATCTGTGGTTCTCTGTGCAGCAATAGTCCCTTATATGGAACCTGTAAACTCATCTGTACACGCACTAGTGAGGCTATCCTAATTTGTGTTCGCCTTTTTTGTTTTGCTTCCCCGATGCAAACTCAACCAATTTCAACCACAATTAATGACAGTGTGCGCCTCTCTCAACGGGAATTCTATCAGTGCGTAGGAAACAAATAAACGAGCCGCGTCCAATATCTTTTCCGGTTGTTCCAACTCAGTTTGCCGAACATTCTCAACAAATCACACCTCAGTCTAGGGGAATTTACTTCATGTCTACACTTCTTCTTGAAATGCAACTTCTGTTTTACCGGTCTCAACGGCTACATATTCCCAAATTCGTCTCTTGTATGTCCAACATTTTCCATATATCTCATGTTCTATAATTGCTGACTTTTACCTAACCGCCGCATTAAGTATCTGCTTTTCACCTAAGCTTCCATTCTGTTGGTATTGCCTTGAATTTGGCAATAACAGTTTGTGGCTGTGTTTGGCTCGCCTGTTCGGCAGTTCCAAATCTAGGACCCCATGAAACCTTCTAAGCATCATTGAATGAAAACGCTGAAACGTCTAGTTTTTTACAACTGAAAAGCATAAAACTCCTCCATATGCAACTATTCCGCAGCACACATACAACCTCTATCACATTCGTCTATTTAAATCATACTGCCTTCACAAACCTCATTTTTTTTTATTCAAACGAACGTTTCTCACGGGGATTATAAAACAGCTCTTGTGATTATCATATGCACTTCTAGACGGCAATGTAGGCTAAATCCGACTTGTGTTGCGGATTCAATAACAGCACAATCAGTTCAGCTCTTTCGCATGCACTTTCGTGCGTCACTTTTGGTTGCCCATTTGGAGGAAAACAGGAAGGTTGAAAGTAGAATCGAAGGGAAAATTGAGAAAATCGGGACTAATGATGCAAAGAAATTGGGATGCACAAACGTCACTGTTTACGACACCCGGCCATATCACCCTGTGCCTTTAACCATCGTTTACGATCATCCCGAGGTCCCCATCCAGGAAGCCTAACAGGACCTATGTTACCCAGTCCCCTGGTTAGGGTTTTCATGCTCTCGTGCCAGGTCTTAGCTAGACCACCTTTGGCTTTATTCCAACCACTACCTGCCTCCGCGAAAATCGCTCGCCATGACAATCTATCTGGTGATAGGCGTAACACGTGCTCCAACCAACGTAATCTATGGAGGTCAACCACTTGCTCCAGTGGGCGGCGGACAGCACAATCAGTTTGCGTCAATTCAGTTTGCATGGTTCTCTAATCTAAACCGAAATTTACTAACCGTTCTACACCTTGTTCCATCAAGCTTTAGCCAAAAGCCGCGATCCTTTAGCGTCGACGCGTAACCCTTCAGTCAAAACCCGCACTGCTTTAGTCAAGACCCGTAGTCCTTCAGCCCCGACGCACAAACTAGTCACACCGCAGTAGGCGAGTCAGATCAACGGTATCGGAATATTCTGAAATCAACGGATGTCGACAAAAATTACTTTATACGAATGTTGTTGATACTGCAAAGCTTGATTAATAAATAAGTTGTGGGGATTGCATGCTGCAACACACGTTGATTGGATAAGATTAAACCGATGTGCCCGTATCGTCAAACCAGTGGACACATCTCGTATAGGTTCTGTATTTCTGTATAACATGCGACCCTCTTAGGAGTAAAATCTCAAGTGTAACTCAAACAAGACATAAGTAGTTTTCAAGCAACGTTTATCAAATGTTCAAGTGGACTTAACACTGAAAACGGAATCTAGAAATAGATTATCATCTATCAAGTACGTGGCTGAACAGATTTTTCACTAACTGCATAATATAAATTCGATATTCGAATATGTCCCAGTAGAAAAGAATTTTTCATAACTGAGTTATTACCGTTTTTTATTAAATAAATCAATGTAAATGTATTTTTACTTCGTTTTTCGTTTATTGAATATACAAATGTATGGTCATACAAAAGCTGCCTTTATTCATCCAAGGAAGTACAATGTTTAGCGCTGGGATAAAACAAAAATTTAAAAAATATCAAAACAGCATCACTTAGATGAGAAAACGTATCACTGTTTCATGTACAGTGTCGAAATATGAAGAGATGATAACCACTTACCGAAGTGAACGGCGACTTCCATGGAAATTTCGGCTCTGAACTTTCACGACCTTCATCGCCTAAACGAACCATGAAACAGAGCAGTAAGAAGACTTACTGATTTCTTTCAACCACGCAGCCATCTTCTAATACATTTGACTGAAAAAGGTGACTGAAAAAGAAAGAAATTCTGAGTGGTTCTCTTTACAAAATGAAAAGCCAGAACACCAAACATTTTTGAGTTGGTGGTGACGCAGTGGTTTAGTCGCTGTTACCGGAGAGCTTTGGATCCTATGGTCCGAGATTTCAACCCCGCCACCATCACCCAACGTTGGTGATAGGTAACTTTGTTGTCGCCCGGTTCAATACCACGCCTAACCTAGCGGGGTCTTTTGTGGCTCACCAGCCCAAGTCCCGTGGCTTAGGTTACCGGCCTCTATCGTTGAATAGTAGGTCCTCGTGACTATGGCGTATACCCTATCTGCTGTTCATCCCACTAAATTGTGTAATGAAAAATCTGTGGTTTTGCGAACTGTTGATCGGATCGCCCATAACACTATCACACAATTTACCATGGTCACTGTATGTTCAAAACACATTCTGTAAAGTTAGAAAGCTTTCATATCTCTCACTCCGATTGAGAATACTTTCTGTTCTCCATAAGCTGATTGTTAGATCCGTGAATGCATCCGTGCTACCCCACTTATTGTATTGCTCCCCAGTAATTTTTCTTCGGTATGTTGAAGAAAGACTTTTACTGGCGAGATCTCTGAAACACACCTCTAAATGCAGTGGTGTTGTCAGGGATAAACTTGCCGATTCTATCACATACAGNACCTACAAGCATGTGAAAGTTGCACTGACAAAGTACTCTCAGACACTCACCACCTACTAAAACGAATTTTCAAAAATTTTTATCTACATCATCCACACGCTCAAGAGTTAAACTTTTATTTGCACGTACCTCTGCTTATCGTAGTTCTGCTTTGTCATATCTAGCACGTCTACTTATTGACGAGCAGAAAATATCCACAGAATACGCTTGTTTCACTGAAAGACACAATTTACTGCTCTTCGTTTTATTATGTAATGATTTGGTAAATTTGCATCCACAAATATGGAGCAAATGCTGAAAATCCACCCTTCCGGGTGCATAAAGCTACTACTGACTTAACTTGAATCGCACACCCGATGCTCAAACCGGGTACCCATTCGTCTAATCTGACCCTGAATCAGTCTGAATTTGTTCACAATTAATTGAATAAGTAGAGAAGGGAACCGAGATAATGTAACCGTAATACAGAGAGCAAACGAACCGAGACAATATAACCGTCATACAAAGAGTGAAAAACGTAGCAGCGTAAAAAGACCTCTTCATACAATTCGATTCACCATCTTGGTTACCCTATTTTGATTTGGTATATCTTGAAATGTAACGTTTTTATATCTACTCGTAGTTCGTTATTTCTTATCTCCAAATCCTCTGTTGCCCCATTCTTCTGAGTAAACTACCACCTTCCTGGATTTTTCTTATATTGGAATACTTGATTCAAGGAAATCAAATGCAGAAGTCACAAACAGATATTTGCAGCCAGACGAAGACCTGCTGTTCAGTTATGGTAACCGGCACCCTAAGCCCCGGGACTTGGAGTGGCGAACCACGGAATACTAACATACAACACTCATCCAGTGTACTCTTAAATGAACCCGTAGATTTACTCTAAAATTACTTCGTTTTAGCCTAAAGGAATGTCCCTGGTTCCCCCGGAGGGAACAAGCGAGAAACCATATTCAAAATTTGAACCAGAAAGCCCATTGATTATCTTAAAAGACTTTATAAGACCGCCTTGCATTCGTCTGTGTCAGGGAGAATAAACTTAGATTCCTAAGGCATTGATGGTATCCCCTACATTTCTAACCTGCTACCATTCTTGTTTCCAAACGACGTATGCTCTGAACGTACGGCTCACCGGACCGGTCAGTTTGTCATGAAGAAGCAAGTTGATATAAAAGCTACTAAAACAATTACTATATAGTAGCTTAAGCTAGCTTTATATGACTACAGTCAATGAGTAATTACTAGGGTTGTGTTTGATATCCACGGTCACTGTAAGCGGAAAACAAAGATCAGTGAATTGAGAAAAAATACGATTCAACCAAAGGTGTAAACACTTTTCTTGGTCTGAGCATCACCGATTGTCACCCAAGCAATTCACATGTGCCCTTGCACGGGCATGTGCAAATGATTATTCCGCGACGTTCAGGTGACCCAATGGTGCTTGTTTGGTGACTCAGGAGAGACATCCTACATGGACAATATATTAAATTCAAAACAGCTTGTAATCTATAGTCTACATTTTGTGTTCTATCTCTGAAAAAATTCACAATCAGCACGAGTATCTCTGAGTGTACCAAACGGATACCCTCCAGTGTCCTCTTCGACAGTCCCTTTTCAAATATGGAACGGAACTCTCATGGGAACAGTAAAAAAACCAAAGCACCACCAACCACAAATCCTAGGCCGCGGTTTCCCCAGCTCCTCAGACCCCATCGCAAAACCTCTCACACCTTAATAATTAACTATTGCTTTGTCATCTACTAATCAGTTCTAGGCAGTTTTTCAACACCGCATTTACGTCCCAACGCAAAACGCATCCCAATTTTAGCAGTTTCGCAATCCAACGACCACTTTTATAGTTCTCATCGAAACAAAATAACGACTAGACTTAAATGAAAAATTTATTACGTAGAAACAGTCAAAGAAATAGCTTCAATCTTTTTCTGATAGTTCAATATTTTCTGGCATTTTTATGGCGAGCACGAGGCCATTTTCGACGTTCATTCCTAGATTCACCTCCCCCAGAATGTTCGTGAATTTGGACTGCTGGAGTTGTTTCTCGCCTTTCCCTATTAATCCGTTATGCAATTGACACGACAAACAAGTTAAGACAAGTTCAGACAAGTAGCTGTCTTGACCACGAAGTTTTGCTTAACCACCGTCCGTCAGTCATCAAACAGGTCACTGTTGAGTCCATTGATTTAATCGTTCTTGACTATTGATGACCACTACTTCAAACCGCTGCCATTTTCGCAAGCCAAAATTTTTCGACGAAGTAATGTACGAAATAAATACCACACCGTCAACATAAAAGAGATGCAATGTAAGGGGCTTCTGTTCCCTGATAAAGAGTGGGTATTTATCTCACTTGTCAATACTTCGAGGAAATCAACGTAAGGTTCAATGCTTATGAACGCCGTAATGGTGTATAAATTGTAATTTTTCCATTAGTACACAGATGTTCGTCGTAGTTGAGTTCCTGATCGATGATACAGTCGCCATCCACTAACGAGATGGGTGGAAGGCGGAAATAAAGTACTATGAGTGAGAAGCTCTATCATCAAAGTTGAGCGAATGGTAAGGCAAAAGATACCACCTCCGCCGCATGATGTACGCATATACCGAATTGTTGCTGAGTTAAGGTTTTCAGTTAGCTAGTACTTAGACACTTATTCAGAGGCTGTGGGACTACAGAATATTTTGAAGGAAAATAGCGAACTGCCATCTACGGAAGCGACAGTTCATATGCAAACATCCGATAAGAGACAATGGTGAGTTTATTGTTTAGCCCAAACAATGTTTGTAGGAAAAAAGATGTTCCCCATCTGATTCAATTGAATTTGAAGCACCTCCCAGAAAATCATCGCATGTCGCGGATTTGAATCCAACATCACTAGCACCACCACCACCATCCGAAATTTCACCACAACAGGAGCCCATGCAAGTATATCCAGAGTTAACAAAACCATTGGGGATACCGGACTTAAAGTATACAAAACAATACTTGTAAGAAATGTTAGCTTACATTCTCCGACAATATCATTCAACTGTTGCACACGGACATCGGTGTCAACACCTAAGGGCGGGTAAGGTGTCATTTTAAAGTATATAGTTTATAGCCGTCAAACTGGGGATGGTAGGCTACAAACCGCAGGTCGATTAGCTACAGAAAGCGGAAATATGTCGAGAAGTTTATCAACCTTGTGTAATAATGTTGCTCTGTCAGGTGAAAATCTCAAATCTGTGTCAGGTGGGAACCGTGATCCATATGTGTATGCTTCTTAGCCTTGCAAGAAAAAATAACCCAAAAAATTAACGGATAGGTTCAGCAAGTTGCATAACGACATCCAATTTATTAGGCAGCGCCTGTTGGACGCGGGAACTAGTAATGTCATTCCGATACCAGTTATTAAGAACTACCAATTGTTGCAGCAAAAATCAAAGGATAAGACAACCTATGGAAACATGGTAAGTCGACCAGTTTCGACTGGTCATATTATTCAGTTACGCTACTTTTCCAAATTCGGAGGCCATTCTGTGGCGGCCGCCACAGTGCATTCCGTAACACACTTGTACTATTCTTAAAACTTTATTATCAGACACAAATCTGGTCGCGAATAACAGAAGAGATATCAATGGTAAGCTGCCATTGGCAGACGCAAATATTTGCAAGCTCGTCATTGATAAGTTAGTGGCACTTTGTTGTCTGTTATAAGAACAAAGACACTGTACTACGGAAAATCAAGCCCGAGACAACCGTACTAACAGCGATAGCCAAAATACAGTAAGGATTCAAAGATCACCAAACCAAAACATGGAAGTGATGATCATCAGAGGGTACTTCAAAGGGAGATGAGATTCGTTTTTAACAATCACTTGCCATTTCCTAATGATATAAACTGCCTAATATTGCGCATGAAGATTCTATTTTTCATTACATGTGCTGATGAGGAGGAACAAAATTATGAACCGCCAGATGAGGATTGAAGCCATTTCTGCGACCATAGTCACAGAAGCACATGTTTCTAGGGGATAAATTTTTCACTTACGTTTATTCGTTGCCATGATAAAAAGGGGATGCTTTTAGAGTTGGGACTTAAATACGGTGTTGGAAGACCGCTTATAACTGGTTAGTAGATGGCANCGGTAGCCTATCAATAGGATGCGAGAGCTTTTGCGATGGGCCTGAGGTGCTAGGGGAACAGCAGTCTATAATTTATGGTTGGTGGTGCTGTTTTTGACTATTTCTCTGAGAAACACGTTCCACTTTTCAAAAGTGAATCTCGAGGAGAACACTGAGAGGAC